CCCTGCGGCCCCCTCCGCCGCTCCTTCCCCGGCTGCTCCGGTGGCGCACCCGGCGCTGCTTCACCAGTTCAGGGCAGACCTCTTAGTACCGAACGGGAACGCGTTAAAGACCGGAGGAGCTCCGGTGTCCAGCAGCGCTAAGCCCGTGTACGCCACCCCGTCGCCCGTGGAGAGCACGCCACAGAACAACGAGTGCAAACTGGTGGAGGTGAAAGGTGCCAAGCTGGCCTCGTTCACGGTGAAGGACACGGAGCTCATCTGCCTGCCCCAGGCTTTCGATGTGTTTCTAAAGCACCTGGTCGGCGGGCTCCATACCGTGTACACCAAGCTGAAACGGCTTGACATTACCCCTGTGGTGTGCAACGTGGAGCAGGTCCGGGTGCTGCGGGGGCTCGGGGCCATCCAGCCTGGTGTGAACCGGTGCAAACTCATATCCAGGCAGGACTTCGAGACGCTGTATAACGACTGTACCAACGCAAGGTGAGCCGGGTGTGTGAGATGGGAGAGGGCAGGCGGGGGTGACAATGTGACCCGGTTGTGGGGGAGGTGGGGTGCAGCAGGTGGAGTTATAAAGCAAGTATAGGATCCAGAGCCAAAGGCAGTGTGCACAGAGGGTCCTAGGGACGCACCTTTAGACTTTATCTACTATCAGTTTGCTCATCATGTGCCTCAGGATGCCTCACAAAAAACTATATATTAATGCAAATTACATGTCAGTGACCACTGTGCAAAGACTTTATGGTATTCTGTTTTTTGTGGTAGGGTGTAATATTTCAGGTCTTGTCTTTGGCTTTACTCTGATACATACATGAGATCCATAGAGTTTCCCAGAAGCCACTATTAAACATGTAAACTACTCTATAAATGACATTTTCTGAAAATAATATTTGTTTTTGTCTGCTGGAGGTTGTAAACAATTTGATAGAGGTCCAGGTAACCCCCTTTTTATTAACCACAGTACTGTTGCTTTACCGTTTTAACATATGATATATGTTGTGATGATGATGATGGTGGCGGTGGTGTTGACAATAATGAATTTTAGTAATCCTAATAAAAAACACTTAAAAGTTTGTCATGTTATCATAGGCTACAATCTCTCCCACTCTCTCTGCACGCGCGCACACACACTCCCTCTTTCTGTCTCTTTGATACATACGCACACTCTCATGCACACGTTGAATCTGTCACTGTCATTCTGAGAAATTGATTCTTCACAGAAATTAATTAATTTTCATTTGGCCCCAAGCGGCAGCTTAAATCAGGACAAGCTCACTCACTCACTCACTGATCCCTTTGCTCTCTCTCTCTCCTTTTCTCAGCCTCCCTCTCTCCCTCGCTCTCCTTCCTTAATAACTTGCTGTCTTATCATATCAACACTCTTTAGCCCTGAGCATCAGAACAGAGGAGATGATTAAATGAAATCTTGGTATTTATGATGCGATTATGTAAATTGGCTGTTTTGCAGAACTCCGATGGTGACCAACTACAGTACATGGGTCATCAAGCCAGTGCACCACAGAGATGTTTGGATAAAGCATCTAAATTGGCTTGGATTTGTGGGTTACTGGTACCTCAGTCTGCTGTTGTGTAGACCACATGCTCCTGACAGCATGGGTTTGAATCCAGAGGAGTGTGGATTAGCCTTAGTTTAGGGGATTTATATCATCTGATAGTTAATCTGCTCCTTGGAGCAATTTTCAGAATATATAATCTTTTTTTTTAGCTTTTTTTCTTTCTTGGGTTGTTGGGTCAAATCATTTAAGTGCCTTAATATGACTCTATTTTTTATCTTTGAGTTACGTTTTGATTTTAACACCAGGTATTAACTTTTGGAAAAGGCTTTGACCTGTTGAGCAAAACCAGAAACACTGCAAAATGAAACAAACTATTGTGAGAATCTGCTTCCAGTGTCTGGGGATTTAACACCTGCTCCCTGGAACCAAGAAAAAAAAATCCAGATGCATCTTCTGGCTGTTTTGGGATTTCATCTATGTCAAGTGTTAATGGGCACATTGTTATACAAGCCCTGAAAATACACAACCTCCATCATCTTTAATTATCCACACAACAGTCAGACAGCCTTAAGTTAATGGAATCTGAAAACATCACTCTTTTGAAATCTTCAAACGGCTTCCATCATTTTTTGTCTGAAAACTTCAAATGTGCTGTGGTAGCCATTAGTATCAGCCTGCTGCATTAGATGCTTCCAGTGTAATCCCTTGTGTGGATAGAGCAACATAACAGTAGCAGGTACAAAGTGGGACTCAGGATGATTGTTGTTGAAGCAGGAAGGCCAACTGACTAACCCTAAAAGTTCCAAGAACATGATGTTATGGCTGTCTGACAGCATCAGGGCTCAGTGAACCTTTTGTTACTGATTAAGACAGCGATCACTTATTATTTTCCAGTCCAGTACAGTCAGACTGACTGGAGGAGAAATAACAGCCTTGTCTGATAGGCTAACATGTAACAGAACACTTTACATGGATTCCTCCAGTTTATTCTTTTAGGCCAGTTGTTCATTTATTACTGTAGTTCTTTTTAAAGATTAAAATAAAATGGTTTGAAACAAACCGAGATTACAAAAATGTCCTCTGTTTATAATTGTGAGACAAAGAGTCTCACACACACACCTCTGACCACTGACTCATCAAACCATGAAGAAGGGTTGACTTCATCCCCAGTCAAAACCTAGTTATAATTCATTCATTGGTGGCACACACACACTCGCTCTCTGTCACCTCCTAATGCACACACACACACACAAACTCAAACGGTCACGCCTGTGTGTTTGCTGGCTTTGCTGCTAAATGACATTAGTTCCACAGAAAGAACATGGCATGTAGGAGGCAACCTGATCCTCCATCCTTTTCTTTCTCTATCACAAAGGAACAGTTTCATTCTCTGTAAGGAACACGCCTCAAAAGTTTGCTCAGGTCAAACTCTGTGTGTGTGTGCAT